AAAAAAAAGACATTGTCCTTTAGGACAACAGCACGGGAGAGCTCTGTGTGTAATAAAAAGGTCCTGGAACTCTTCTAACGTGCGGAGGACGGCCATCGTGGATGGAGGTCTTAGTCGATAAGAATCCGACACTACCTGGTGGGGGTCTCTTATGAAGATTTCCTCCACGTAAAAAAAAAACAAAAAAAATTATTAATCATCAACAAAATATCTTAATATGTATTGATGTAGGAGAAAGGCTTAAATACCATCGTCAATTCCTATTCTATATGTATACCATGTAATAATGCCTTTTTCAATTCAATGTAATGTTTCAGACACGCTTATTTACAAAGCCTTTTCTACGTATTTTGTCGGACAATCCCGTCTTGCTGCGCTCTATCTAACGAGCAACGATCGTATTTCTTTCGCTCGGCGTGTCACTCCGCTTCGTGGTGTTAGTGCATGTGTGTTTTATCTGGTACTTCAACTACAAAGCTGCAGCTTAACCGAGCAACTGTAAGCCAACAATTATACGAACGATTGACTAACGAATGTCGATCGACGAGTGACTCGTATAATGCAATGATTGGCCATCGTGCTGATTCAGGTTGCTGTTACAGATTCAATTATTGCTCCCACGGCTTGATATTTCGTGCCGCCGATTGAACGGTCCGAAATCAACCGGGCCAGAACTTTGATCTCCGACCGTCGGTGGTGGAGAAATCGAATTAAAGCCTCGCATAAATAACGAGAACGATACGCCTGTGTCGTTTTTCTTTTTCTCATTATTCTCACGACTTTGTTTCCTATTTTTTTCACTGGATAGAATAACGTTGTTTGAGTCGTCCAAGATGCTGCCAGTTGTAAGCCATTTGCATGCTACACGCCGTGGAAATTACAGAAGGCAGACACGACGAGTTACATTTTCCGTTTTTCGTCAAGACTGTGTATCTTTTTATTTGATTCTTTCCATCTCGCTCGGGAACATCTAAAAAATATTGATTCGTGAGATTGATCCTTAAGTTTTACGATCATCGTGAATTTTTATAACAGATAGTCAAGACTGTATCTTCTTATTTGATTTTTATCATTAAACTTCATGATATTCGTAAATTTTTATAATAGGTTATTCTCGCTTTTACTCTAAAAGAAAAGAAAAAAAAAGAGGAATGAGTTTATCATATTTCTTTCTATACAGTTCTCAAATAAGACATACGACATGCAGCATATATCGCGGTATCGAGTATAGTGAAGCCGAAGTTCGCGCGGTTGGCAATATGTTAATACTCACTTTCACACTTAACGAGTATCCGATGGCGCGCCACGGGCGACGCGACACTCGTGTGTTAAATAGTTCGTAACCTTACCGTAAGATTAAGTCGTTAAGTTCTATCGTATGATGATTAATTAAGCGGCTGGCGCGACACCGGTTCGACGAGGCATACATTTCGTCTGTCGACAGAGTATTCCAACGATCAAGCTTCCAGGATTAATAGCATCGTTAAGGTCGAATCGAACAATGTCGCGCCGTTCCGATGAGAAATCAACAGCTCAGGCGGGCCCCTTTACGTGCCGGGACCGATGTTCGCGAAACGGATACCAGCCGAGCCGGTAACTTCAAAGAGACGAGGAAAAATTTGAACGAGGTCAAGCCTGCGTGAGAGAGAATTCCATACTTTGGAAAATGCTTTCGTCAAACGATCGACACACTGTTCTACGCACGGTTCTATCGTTCAGTTTCTCCTTGTCGCACGAAGAGTATTTAATACTTACGTACGTGTTTACGTACACGTTCTATCTCTTCCCTTTGTACATGCAACTTTACGTTTGCATTAAAGCTGCTTTCGCTGTATACAAAATCGAGACGAGCCAATGATTGACAAACATCATCACGTAATTGCCATTTGTTCCGTGGATTGGACGGGACAAGTGGAACGTAGACCATTAGAGTATATTTCGTCCGTTTACCCAGTCACGAAGCGATTCAATGGGGCGAGAGCTAGACTCGTACAGTCGGGAATTAGGACCCCTGTTTTACGAACCCGAATAAATTCTAGTTACTTTTCAACTGTGCACCGCTTTCGCGCGTTTATCGTTGGAAAATCTACACTCGAGTATACACTGTTTTAATTTCTCGTCTCGTAAAACATAAACCTACTTCACGTTTATTTACACATCGTCTAAAAATCCTTTGCCGACGATCGATTTTTATCGAATGAATGAACGAATGGATTCTCGCTTGGTCGTCATCGATAATGATCGACATATAACGGTTAAAAACGTTGCTTTCTGTTTATCGACGTTCGATCGCAATGTCGGTCAACAATTGGGAAACGCGTTTGGTAGGTTGGCGCCCTTGGACGAGGTTAGACGGTCCTGCCGTGAGGCTCCGGCATTGGCTGTTCCGCGGGCGTGGGAGCTCCGCAGGGGTTCAGTTAGTCTGCACGGGTAATAGAACTGCGCTGGGGGTGGGCGTAAGAACGAGGAACGGTTAGTACATCTTCGCGAAGGGTAGGAGCGATAGCCGGTTGGCGCAAGTGCGGCGGGGATATCGTGGCCTGGCGGAGCCCAGTCGAGTCCCGTGAGTCCGGGAAAGCACAGCTATCAAGGTGGTACGTGGTGGTGGTGTGTAGGCGTCGTCCGGGACTGAGATTTCGAGCCGCCATCGAGAAGCCATCTCTCCACACGGTGTGTGTCTGTGCGTTTACGCGTCTCGCGTGGTCGCCGGTTCCGCGTGGCACGTATCGAAGAAAACCGGCTCGGCTTTTCGCCTTCTCAATTTAAACGGATTAACTTCGAGGAGAAGGTTCTTCTGGGGTCTGTTGTGCCGCGTGCTGTGAGTGCTGTGAGAATGTGTGCGCGAGTGTGCGTGCGTGCCTGATATAAAGGGAAAGGTTAGAAAGATGGAAAGAGAGTAAATGTGGG